AGTTGAATTGAATTTGGTCTAAATCTCTTTTCTTATTCACTTTCTCCCCAATTCTCTTATTTACAGTTTGCAAGACAGATCTCAATTACTGAGTGTTGGGAGTTACCCTTCTCTACAACTTCTAGTATGACTCTTTCTTGAAGAAAAATAATCTAAATAACGGGCATTCTTGATTCTGTTTGGCTTGCTAGTTTTGACTTAAGATTGACGATTAGCTTTAATAATGAAATTAGAGGCTATTTTTTATGCTTATATAGTCAACATTTTTACCATTCTAACTTGGAATCCTATTTTATTACATCATGCCTCTAACATTCAATCGAGGAACTAATCCCTAGATCATCGACAATAAATTATTGCCTTTCATGACTTCGATCGAATTTGGTGCATTTGAGAGATTTTATGACCTTGAGAGAGTTATGAATTGACGTTTGTGGAGGAGATATGAGTGTGAGCCATGCTTCGGTTCATCCAGTTAAAGTAGTGCCTGCAACCAAAGGCAAAGGTGGTAACACTCCTACAGTCAGGATGAAGGGTATCCAAGGTATGCCAGGCACACTGAGTGGGCTATCTTTGCAAGTCTCTTGGTTTATTTTCACTACTGTGGCATTGTTTATCATAGCTTCCATAAGTGATTTCCTTTCCGTTACTGCGTTTTGGTAAACCTTCTCTTGCATTATTTAATTCCTGATCTTATTGTGTTTTAAATGTGATAGCCATTATTCAAATCATGAAACTTTCCAAATCTTGGTTCAAAGATGCTCCAAATCTCCAATGAGTGACTTTCTATGAAATTTTGAAAAGTTTATTTGCTTCCCTCATTGATTGAGCTAAATCTTCATCTAGGCACACCCCCATTTGGTTAGAATCCAAATCATAACAAGTAAAACCTTGAATTGTACATTTTCCCAAATAGAATAAAGAAATTAATTTTTCTCAATCACGAAGCTTCGAGAATTAGGCTTATAAGCATGTTTGATAATAGATAAACACGCAGGGAGGAAGCAAGATTTTATTATAAGATGCCTGCTAGGCAGCTATAGTGTATGTAGCATGCCAATGTCATTCAATTTATGACATTGATGGATCTGCTTAGTAATAGACTGCATTTCAGATTTAGTATGAGCTGAGACATTGGGATAAATTTAGAATGATACCCCTAGGCAAAGAGTTCGTTGTTACTTGAAACATAGTCAAACGGCTGGTCATTATTCATATCTTTGTTTCTTAGATAGCTTGATCAAGCAATGTAATGAATTAATGATAATGTATGATTTATAAGAAATAGTAATGTTTAAGAGAATTGTTTTAGCTGTAGGATTGGAAATAGTGGAATATTTTAACAAGATATGTAATAAGGTATGGTAGAGATGGAATATGGTTATATGGCATAATCAAGAAAAAAATGGCTATTTTTTGAGCTGGATTGGAGCTGGTCTAACATCTGGATCAAATTCTGAATCTTTTAATTTACTTCTATATGGCTTTGAATCAATTGGGCATTTTGCTGGTTGGCCTCACTTTACTTGATTCCTCGTTGCAACTTGCAAGTGTACCTTGTTTTGCAAATTTAGTGGTCTCCTTACTATGGACTAAGACACTCTAGTGAATGCTCAAGCATTAAAAAATAGAATTATGGAGGTCGTTATGTGTTTGGGTTAACTCATTACAATACCAGTTTTGTTGTCCATCATAATGTCTCATATGCTATTGGGCTCTTCAATTATTGTTATGATAGCTTCCTCACTTGGATACACTTTATTGAGTGGTATGTTTTGGTTAGTTAACATAATGCATATTCCCCTACCTTATGTCATACAGTATTTGAAGTTATGATTATGTCATATAAATAGTCCGAGAATTAAATGAAAATATCTTGACAATAAGCCTAAATACGTGGCTAATGTGCCTGAGATATCACTACTTAAATGTAAAATCAAATGAGATTGGATAATGCAAACCTATTTCATTCTATTTGTTAAGTTACTCTATTACTTCAGGCTTTGGTTCTTTTTAGATTTGATCAATGTTTTTGGCTTTTGGTTTTATAGAAAATGTAAAAAATTTGGGTTCATGGACAGTGAAAGCTAAGCAGATCATTTTCCCGCCTTGCTTTCATTATTTTCCATTTTGATGTTGGACGGATATCACATATTATACCTTTTTCTGATAGTAATACACTAATACTTTTCTGTGATATTTGCTGGTTCTTTGTTCTTACTTATCTTTGCCATTGATGATTATATATAGTCCCTATTCTTTAGTAAAGGCACACTATTAAAGATAAGTTGCATCAATTTTATGGCACCATTCTTATTGATTCTCCTATTTTTTCCCAGTTACCTTGTTACGGTTGCAGGCTTACAGAGTCTGTGGAGCTTCTCACTTGCTATTGCTGATGTGTATGCTCTCTTAGTAAGGCAATTGTTGCAAAACTATTAAGTGATCACTCTGTTTACAATTGGTGATGGGGTAAGATATTTTATATGACTTATATTTGTATTATCATATTGATTAAAGAAGAGCTGTAGCCTATGTGCATAATGCAAGTAACTTCCACGCTTACATTTGCTGTGGCATGTGCATTAGCAGGGATCACGGTGCTTATTGATAATAATATTGATAGTTGTTCACATAATCACTATGTACAATTTGAAAATGCTATAGTTATGGCCTTCATTTTTTGGTTTACCACTGTCCCATCATTTCTCCTCAACTTCTAGTCTATGGCATCGCAATAAAACAATTAACAATGGCATAAATCTGCAAAACTTGTGTGAAGTGTGGCAATTTGTATAGTATATATTGCCCTGTACATTTTACACCTCGTCTTTTTTAGATCTAAATTGCCATGCGAGGCATGTGCATGGGGAATGACAGATTTAGATCTATATGGACAAGTTTTGTGGAATATGGCATTTTCTGTGGAAATTTTGGGCGAAGTTAACCTTTGTGGAGAGATTTGTCACACATTTTTTACATGTCAAATAAAAGCATGAACGACAACAAATTGTTTAGAGTCATCGCTGTGCTTTCCCTCCTGAATGAGCATTCTGTCTCCTCTGCATGGGACAAGTTTCCCTCTGCAGCCCATAATTTAAGCTCCTTTCTATAGTGAAATCATGTCAATTAAATAAGATAAGATCATATTACGTAAAAAAAATACCAAAATTATATGAAATTAGAAGCATATCCCATAAAATCCAAAAAATAGATCGTATTCTTTCATAATTTTCATGAACTAAGAAGAGTGGTATTTTTTTTTAAACTAGACTTTCTAGTGATTGATTTATTAGATATGGATTAGCTTCTTGGTGTGGGAAATTTTGCTTCTTGGATTTTTACTAACAGATTCTTTTTTTAAAACAAAAAAATATATAAGACCACAAGAAAATTATGTAAAAAGATTGAGATCTAGTCAACTCTAAAATCATAAGACTTTTATAGTCGAAGGGCGAGTTGTCAAAGCTAGAAATATTAAAATCTTCACATGATGTCTTATGGGCTAGTGTATCTTGCATTTATTGGTTTTATTGTAGACATGGTTGAAAGTGACTGACTAATTTCTCATGATGAAACTTCTAATATTCTTAATAATCACATAAAGGGGATGGTTATCACAATAACTACCAAGGTTTTAAAAACCGAACTGAACCAGCCGGTTCAACCGGTTGAACCGAGAACCTGCTCCTGGTCCGATTTGGTCGACCCCTAAAAACTGGTCAGCAGAGAACCGATCAACAACCGGTTAAACCGGTCAAAAACTGGTAAAATCGAATAAAAATCGGACCGGTTCTCATGAAAGAACCGGAAAAAATAAAAAAATAAAAAAATAAATTAAAATTAAAATTAAATTACATCTTTCTTGATATTTAAATGAAAAGCTTCAGTTATAGTTAATATTAATTATGTATTTATCAATAAAAAAATTATATTATCAAGCATCTATAATATATTTTTGAAAAAAATACATATTTAAATGTATTTTTTATTTAATTATGATACATAAATTAAAAATATATTAATTTAATATCAACCTGTTCGACCCCGGTTCGACCACGGTTCGACCAATGAACCGTGAACCAGTGCCTCATCCGGTTCAATGATCGGTCCGATTTTTAAAACCTTGGTAACTACTATCAATAAGTGATGCCTCCATGAAATATAAGCTGACATTAATTTTAGATAATTTTTTAGTTTAATAAAGATTGATGCCTTATTCTAAAATTTCTAAGAGCTCAATAGCTATACTGGGATAATACCCAATATTCTTAGAAAATTCTTTAATCAAATTTTCCTTGTCATCTCTAATGTTGCCTCCACATGTAGCAGCACCGTTAATATTAACTGAGCTATCAATATAAGATCTTTCTTATTAATTCGCAATTAACTCTCAAAATAAAAATAAACAGGGGACTAACCCATAATAATTACCAAGTGTGTAAAATAAGATAGGATCTATAATAATAATAAAAAATTAGAGTTGAAGATATATGCGGAAGCATGAGATCTAAAATATGAGATACGAGTGAACTACTATTTACTATTTTTATGTGATAATTCCTAACTTTTTTTTTACAAAAAAGGAATATAATAGTTTTTTTATTTTTAAGCACAGAACACCAAACCGTTATATTCATCCAGGCCAGCACTTTTTATTTAACAGTAGATTGACATTATCATTCTTATTTGTTTATTTTGATAAAGTTATCATTCTTGTTTATATATAACTATTTCAATTCTCAAAACTATTTCCATCCATCGTACCAAAAAACATATTCCATCCAGACAGGCCCAAGTGTTTTAAAAATTACAACTCATAAAGGGATGTGAGCCCCCAAGTTACTAGCTATGTTCTTGTCATGACCGAGGCTAACTCTGGAAAAAAACTCTTGGGTTAACTGAATGGGCCTTTACCCACCAATTGATGTTGGAATTAAAAAAAGGGCATTTCAGCTAACGGGCTTCTCAAAACCCTAGCTAATATATATCTCCTTCTTCCCAGCCTCGCGGCTGGAAGACTGAAGCCCTTGCTCTTTCGAACCTACGACAATGCCGCCGAAGTTCGACCCCTCGCAAGTTGTCGACGTCTATGTCCGAGTCACTGGCGGTGAGGTTGGTGCTGCGAGTTCACTCGCTCCCAAGATAGGTCCGCTCGGGTTGTCCCCCAAAAAGATCGGAGAAGATATTGCCAAAGAGACTGCCAAGGACTGGAAGGGATTGAGGGTCACTGTTAAGCTTACTGTCCAAAACCGCCAGGCGAAGGTGTCGGTGGTGCCCTCTGCGGCTGCTCTAGTTATCAAGGCCTTGAAAGAACCCGAACGAGACCGCAAGAAGACCAAGAACATCAAGCACAATGGTAATATATCTCTTGACGATGTGATCGAGATCGCCCGAGTTATGAGGCCCAGGTCGATGGCCAAGGACCTCAGCGGGACTGTGAAGGAGATCCTGGGCACATGCGTCTCCGTTGGCTGCACGGTGGACGGGAAAGACCCGAAGGATTTGCAGCAGGAGATCACTGATGGGGATGTTGAAGTCCCTCTGGACTAAGGTCTTCCTTTTGATTTTGGTTTGATTAGTACTTTTCTCCACATAAATTTCGGGCAACTGTTGAAGTTTGTGTTAAAGTTAACAGTTTGGGCAATTTAGATGATCTGGAGAGATTGTATGAGCTAGACCAGGTTGCGTACAACTTTACAAGGATGATAATCTATTTGATGCAATTTTGTTTCTTTTTGTGATGAGATATTGCCCTGCTTAGTCGCCATTGCGTGTTTGATTTATTTTGATAGTATTATGCGTTGTCTTCTCTTCTGTCTCGGTAATCCGGTTTGTGAAGCTGACTGTGTTAGACAACTCTAAGTTCGTTGTAGCTTCATTTCAGATATTAGATTCATTTCCCCCATTAGTCCTCCTCCTGAAGGGGAAAGGTATAGTTGGTTATATCGTATATTACCATACAAACAACAAACAACAACAAGCCTTTATCCCACTAGGTGGGGTCGGCTATATGGATTGTAAGACGGCATTGTGCTCTATCATTTATTAAGCTTTTAGAAATATTAGTATAGTTGGGTATATCGTATATTACCATATATTACCATAACTTTAAACAATTTTGTCGTTGCTGTTCATGTAGTATATACGCTCCTTGTGCATTATTCATTCCTGATAGCTAATGCACATATAACAAGGCTTTTCTGAACCTGGTTCCCCTAATTTTGCCGGGGTAGGGTTGCGCCATTTGGATGATTTTTTTTTTGGGAAGAATTGTCATTTAAGGTGAATGACATCTCTTCCAATAAGACACAGCTTGGAGCGTTGGATTAACCTTCTGCTTTTAACATTTTTTTTTCCTATAGAAAATGGTTGGTTTCTTGGAGTGTTCAATGTTGATCAGTATACTTTGTATCAATTTCAAGCGGTGAGAATATTTTCATTTTTTTAATATAATATTTTATGTGATGACAAACATGGAGGTTTGAGTTTATAGGATGATGTTTATCTGGAGCAATCTGTCCTCGTGTCAAGTTACTGCTCTGGAAACCACCTGCTATTTTTCTTTTCAACCTTAACGGGCATATTTCAGCATGTCTCTGAAGTTCCAATTTGTTTGTTCTGTTGGTTCCTTATCTTCTATTAATTTCTGGGGAGTTGATAATTATACATTGCGTTCCCGGATTTCGTATGACTGGTCATGAACAAACTTGAATGGGGGGTTTATTCATTCCAGATTTGGAGAGGACTGGAGTATCATTTTTTTCTACAAAATTTCAGTCCCACAACTAAGGCATTCTCAACCATCTCACTTTCGAAATTCAACTATTAAGGAAGTTATATCTTAACCGGAAGTTGAGTTTGGGGAACAACATTCGTCTGTCTGTCCAAGAGGGTTTTGTTCTAACTCGATTTAAATTAGTTTGGAATCTCATCAAGTCTCTTCCTCTTGATGAGAGGTAGATTTATAATGCTAGATGTTCCATGAAGAGTGGCATACTTGTAATATTGGTGCATGAACTTGCAAGCATGATATGGCATTCCCATGAAATCTAGTTTCTTCTTGCGTAACGCTTTGAGGAAGGGATATAAATATTAATTTAAAATTTTACATTTAAAATTATGTGTTTAAATAGTATGAAACATTGTAAATTTAAAGACAATAAAAGGGGAAAGAGAAATGAAAATAGAAAGGGAACAAGAACTATTGAGTACCAATAGTTTAAATTTAAAATTTAAAATAACTAGAGGGTTGGGGAGGTTTACAATTATAAAAAAAATTATAATCAAGTATGGACTCGGATTTTAACCCTGGCCAAATATATAAATTTCTATGAATAGCCAGATCTATAAATTTTTAAGAATTTTAATGGTAAATTTGGCTGTGATCGTAATTTAATCCCTCTCATATCCAAAACGACTTTAATTTTCTTGCTTTGCTATGGATTTGATTATTTCCGCCCGACTCAGTGATGCGCACCGGTAAGGTCGAGAGTGGGATTTGCCTTGCAAAATAAGTAGTACTGGAACGAGTGAATGTAGATTATCTGAATCCGAGAAATTTAGGTTTTTCCGTGTTCCTGGACCGTCATGTTTACGTTCTTAATTATTCCCTTCTAATTTTGCCCACACCACAACGCATTTCGGCGTCCCTGCATGCACTGCACTTCATGCAATCCGAAAACCTCTGTCCCTTGGGCCTTGTATCTGTTAGTCGGTGCCCCGGTGCTCCCCTCGGCCAACAATTCGCCATCTTAGTTTAGGGATGAGACAATGGAGATTTGCTTGGCAGGCGAAGAGAATTATTGGTATCAACTCGTATTCTTTTCCTTCAAAATAATAAGATATTTTCTTATTAATTTTCATTTTCAAGAAAACAATTAACATCATTTAAAAATTACTTAATTTTTTTATATCTATCCTTATTTAATTAGGTGTATCAAAATATGAGATATTTTGATAAAAATAAAGTTTTATTAAGGATATATATATACATATATATTTTTGGTTACCCACAGATTTCCTCCTATTTAAGGCATTGTCGGACATCTTTTTTAATAAAAATTTAAATTTAAATTTATCACATTGTAAAAGATTGGTCTCTCTTATTCGACCCAACCTCATTAGTTCATTAAGGATAATTTTAAAAAATTATTAATCATGTCAAGAAAAATAAAGTAAGACTGGTGGGATTTTGAGAACCAAAAGGCCCATTGATGTGAATGGGCCGAATATGTATACATAATCGGCGGTGGAGTCCTCGGATTGCATGTGAGCACCAGCCTTCGTTGGATTTTGCAGTCGCCTCCTTGGATGTGCGGAGCCTAACTTCAGTCAATGTAATAAGATCTTAATCATTCAAATTCTAACATAAATAATTTCAAATTAAAATATTATTTTATTTTATATTTATGAAAGATGCACTCTACACAATCTAAATTAATATTAAATTAAATTTAAATTATGTAAAATATATCTGAATAGTTAATATATAACAATTGTAAAAAAAAAATTAATATTGAATTGGACCCTTCAAATTAGATCTAAATCAAAATAAAAATAAAAAAATGTATTAAAATTATTTTATAATTTTATAAATTTTTAATTTAATAAATATAAAATAAAAATATATAAAAATATTTTAAATTTGAACCATGTAAATTAAAATTTAAGTGATCCAAATTTTATCATTTTGTGACCAGCACCTTGGCTCATGGGGTGGAGAGTCCCATCTAGCATTGATCAACAACCTTGTTTAATTCCTTAAAAGATAAAAGAAAAGACTGTTCATTTCGAGTCATAGCGTTTCGCCCAAGTTGTGTGATACTAAAATCCCCCTTGGCCATTCACTCCTCATATCCTGTTTGAGGTTTGGATAAGAGTGAGCATCGATTTAAACGATTCAGTTCGGTTCTGATTTAAGTGAACCGAAAAAATTAAAATTCATCAATTTATTCAACCAAACCGAACCGAACCGAAGGTTTATAAAAATCGAAGTGGAACCGAACCGAAGTTTAGTAGTTCGGTTCAGTTTTTGTATTTCAGTTACTGGGTCTTATTTACAACACGTTGGGCCTGATTTTGGCAGCATTTTAGGCCTATTTTTGAAAGCATTTTGGGCCTTTTTTGACAGCATTTTGAACCTTTTTTGGCAGCATTTTGGGCTTATCTAAAAAAATACTGATTAACAAATAATTTAAAACACCAAATCCTAAAGGGGGGAATCGAGGGATTTTTATATGAGGTTGTAAAATCTGGAAATGTCAAAAAATAAACTAATCAAATTCAATCATTCATATCTACACCTATAAGCTGAAGAAACAGAGCAAAAGACACATAATTTATAAATTGATAATTTACCTAATATAAATTCTTAACAATCCAAAATAATCCACCAAATAACAACAATAATCCCTTAAAAAACTACAAATACATTCAAGAGTTTTAACATGATTCAAAATAACTAATCCATTAGATCATCACAAGTTGCCAGCTGCTAATGACACAAAATTTTTGCTCGAGCCTACATTATAAAAGAAAATAGTTAGATTAAACATTTGGCCAAAATATTACAGAACTAAAAAAATAAACAAGCTTATTACAAAACTAACCACTAAAAAGACTAAAAGAAGACAGCAACAAGAACCAACAGTCCACCAGGCACCAAAAGTTAGAAAACTACAAAAAGCAACAATAAAACAAAGATCACAACTACATGAACCAATTTTCATGAATAGCAATAATGAAGAGTTACCTTAAAGAGTTCAAACTATATCCACTGCTAATTCTAATCCAATTCTTTGGAAATCTACAAATAAATCAATTTAAGAGTTAAATTAAATCATAAACAAATGAATTTTAAAGGTAACATTGCACATACATAACATTATAAAATTTTTACCTCTTTCAATCCTTTGAATATCATCTAATTTCTCTTCTACAACCACAGGAATGGAGTGACGAAGCCAATCTTCAACACAAATAAGGGCTTGCACAACTTTAGGAGTTAAAAAACTCCTAAATGCATATTAAACACGTCCTCCAATATTGAATGTAGATTTTGAAGCAACTATGGATATCGGTATTGTCAAAACATCACTTGCCAACTTTGAAAGAATGGGAAATCTAGGATCATTCAATTTTCACCAGCCCAAAATATCAAAGTTAGGTCTATCTATTTTAATTTTCTCATTCAAATATTTATCAACTTCAGTCCTATTACTTTTTCCACCAAGGTGGTCACTTAAAAATTTTATCTTTTCTGATTCAAGCAACTTTCTAACCTTCATACTAGGGTCATCTTCATCATCAAAATCAGCTTGGATTTCATCCACAAGCTGCTCCTTTTTAGATTGCTTAGAGGGAGAGACATGTTCTTTGTATTCATAATATAAAGCAATGAAAACATCCTTCACTTGCTTTGCCAAATTTTCACCTTCATCATTAAACATTTTACAAAGAGCAAATTGAACCCATTCCAACTTATATCGAGGATCTAGAACATCAGCAATATAAATGAGTTGGTTCATCTTTAAAGGATCTTCCCAATACTTGTCATATTTTTCTTTTATTTTAAAAGCCATTGATGATAGCTTAAAATCATCACACTTTTTCCATTCATCCAAAAGGCGATATATCATGTAAATCTCATAAAACAAGCTATTGGATGTAATATAAAAAGCACCAGACACACGCAAGGTCATCTCATAAAAATGACTCAAAAAATCACCATCCTTCTAACATTCCTCTAATCAACAGCATCAGGCACCCCCTCCCCTTGTTCAAGATCAATGCGAAAGTAAGGGTCTTTGTCCTTAAACTTCTTAAAAGTTGCCTCAAATTTTTGAGCACTCTCCAACATTAAATAAGTGGAGTTCCACCTAGTAGAGACATCTAGAGTCAAAAGGCTCTTACTTTGAATCTTCTCACCCTCACAACTCTCTTTAAACTTTTTCATCCTAAGGGCAGATTGCCTAACAAACTAAACAGCTTCCCTAACTCTCTTCACATAACTCCTTATTAATCTCAACCAATCAACAACAATCAAATTTACAATGTGAGCAACACATCTCATGTGTAGAAACTGATACTTCATGATAAAAAAGCCCCAATGAGAAATTTTTTTCTTTCAAGTACAATAGAGCAATATCATTAGAAGCAACATTGTCTACCGTAATAGTAAACCTTCTATCAATTCCCTATTCAAGCAAACACTTCTTAATTTCTATTCCAATATCCCTCCCTTTGTGACTAGATATTGGAACAAAATTCAAAATCCTCTTAGTCAAATTCCAATCAGCATTAATAAAATGAGCAGTAATACACATGTAGTTGATTCTTTAAATAGAATTCCAAGTGTCATTTGTTAGACAAACCCTTTGTTTGTTTCTAATCAAGTAGTCTTTGAATCTAATTTTTCATCCATGTAAATTTTAAAACAATCATGAGCCACTGTCCATCTAGAAGGAACCTTAAATCTTGGTTGATCAGCAGCCATAAAGCATTTAAACCCAAACCCATCAATAAATTTGAAAGGAAGTTCATCAGTTATAACCATGTTAGCCAAAGATTTCCTAATTGCTTCTTGATTAAATTTTCAGTTAGCAAGAATAGATGCATTATCATCTATACCAAAATTTAAGTGGGTCTGTATGCCTTCTTTAGGAAGAGGCCGTTTCTTACACATACCCGTATGATTTTTAAGTGCAGTAGTCCCATTCCTTTTTATATCACAGAAAAACTCTCTTTCACAATAATTACACTTACTTTTGGTCTCTCCATGCTCATTAAGATATTTGTGAAAATGCTCCCAAACTTCAGACCTTAGCTGTATGATCTTTCTTTTTCTTGAACTCACTTCAGTATTAGATGTTGAAGATGGAGTTAGTGTTTGGCTATTTGGAGTGATAGTTTGTCCTTCACCTTCACGGGAGGCAGACATCTAAACCATTAAACAAAACAAAGCTTGAGACACACTTCTCAAAAGTTTAAAAACAGAGACATTTTAGAGAAGGAAGAAGAGATCAGCATGAGATGAAGAAAATCGCTAGCTGGAACCATACCTTGCGTTTATGAGTTGCCCTTATTTGAGAAGGGAGATAAAGCCTGAGCTCAGACGAACTGGACTTGAGAAAATGAAAGGAGATGAATGCTGATCTGAGGCGAAGGGAGATGAATGCTGATCTGAGCCGAGATCGAGAGAGTGATGGAGGTTGAGGGAGACGAAGCCTGAGGCGATATACCATCTACGGTTCGTGCCTTCATGGAGTGGGGCTGAAAGAGAGAAGAGACTCAAAATTGAGATCGAGAGAGAGAAGTCGACGAACTGCTGTTTGCAAAGGATCCGATGTCGACTGATCACTGATCGAGCGAGTGTGAGATGGAGATACAGAGTCACAGAGATTGCTATTTGCTAGGGTTCGTGAGTCGCGACTTTATATGGACTGTGGAGTGGGAGACAGAAAATGAACCTAAATGACTAAGATAAGAGTCTGAGAGCAATCGAGTGACGAGTATCACTAGAGGGTCGAGTATGAATGTTTGATCACTGTGGCTTTTGCTAAAAAAAAAGAGAGAATGGCACTGTGGTAGAGACTGATAATAGGCTGGGCTGTCAACTGGGCTACGTTTTTCCCCCACCCTTTTTCAATAAATATATGATATTAGTATCTTAAAAAATATAATCTTTAATAATATAAATCAATTATAATATTTATAAATATATCTAATTAATTTTGATTACTTCAATTTCACAATTTTCAAACCGAACCAAATTATGCAAACCAAAATGTTTTTTTAAAAAAATCGAATCGACCTTTTAAATTAAATAAACCAAATCAAACAGATTAAATTCAATTTAGTTCAATTTAATTTTTAATTTTGATTTGTTTTTACTCCCTTTAGCATGCTCCTGGATTAGGCAGCCGCCGACCAGTGAAAAAAATGGCCATCCCCTTCCTTCTCGACTTGCACTGACAACCTCAACTATAATTTTTTATTGCCTCCCAACCTCAGCCTTCAACACGTGGTGCTCTCTCGCCCACAACATCCTACAGTTCCCAATTTCAAACTCGTGAGTTTCAATCATGCCAATTTTCATCCATCGCCATTATCCTTTTTCTATTGTCTTGTACCTAAAATTCTCCCAACCAGCATCACCCCTGTTTGTTGGCCATGTTACTGGAGTGGTTGCAGAATCAACGCCACGAAACATATTTGATACCATGTCCTTATTTACTCTGCCTGTCATCCCTCGCGACGCCACCTCTTGTATTTGTAACTTGATCATGACAACCGCCTTACCACTCATTATTGTGCGCTTTGTCAACAAGTTATTCATTACTGAATCTTTTTTTGAACCACTCCCTTCCTTCTTCACTGTTATACACACCGATCTAATTACGCCCAGAAACTTGATCTTTTGACACATGCATGTGTAAACTTCCCTGTACCCCCCCCCCCAAAAAAAAGAAAAGAAAGCAATTGACAAATTCATTAACTATGGGGGGTTTAATAGAACATAACTCCACTTTCATTCCCGTCACGATGAAGCTTTGCAGCAAATAAAATACGAACAGTGGCCTCATGCCATTTGATTTGAGTCGCGTCCAGATAAGTTCGACTGGCATGCCCCTAAAAAACAAAGATGACAACTACCTTTCCTCATTCTCTCTTCGAACTAATAATAATTAGCCTAGCTACTGAAAGCCACGTCGAACCTTTTGTATTTTTTTAAGGATGCACTGATACAGGATAATCATTAACTAATCTCTCCTGTCATTGAAATTCGAAGTATATGTGGTCGATCATATTTCTAATTAAGCCAACAAATTTGAACATTCAAAGTCCTAATTAGCAAGTTTTTGGCGACGAAATGTATTTATTCTACTGTGCTGGATCGTAGTTAAATGATATTGATAAACACATATATAGAAGCCCTGCACACCGTTGCGTTTCTCACTCATCCGTGATTCATTCAAATGTTCAAATGTTGCAGGGTTGAGTTATACGAACGTTTTTAGGACAAGTAGGACCATGGAAAAGGCTAATGATGAAAGCCGTCGGGACGCTGGGTGGGGCCAATTGCAAGCGAAATCACGCTAATATGGGCGGCCAAAAAATCACATTAATCTCAATCATGTCGTCGTCGTGGCATAGATACAAAAGAAATTCATTAATTATTCGTCTCATTTTCTTATACTCTCTCCCTCTCTCCCTCCTTAAATACCCCTTCTTCTCCATTCATCCTTCAATCAAAGCCTTCAAGCGATCGAATACACGACCAGCACGACCAGCGCAGGCCTAATGGGGAAAGACGTTGAAGTTGCAGAGCAAAGAGAGACGACGCCGAAAGACTACCAGGACCCCCCTCCGGCGCCGTTGATCGATGTGGAGGAGCTCACCAAGTGGTCATTATACAGAGCCGTCATAGCGGAGTTCATAGCAACCCTTCTCTTCCTATACATAACGGTGCTGACCATTATCGGGTACAGCAACCAGACTTCCGGCGACACCCCTGAGGCCCAGTGTGGAGGAGTTGGCATACTTGGTATCGCCTGGGCCTTCGGTGGCATGATCTTCATCCTCGTTTACTGCACCGCCGGTATCTCTGGTGAGATCTAGCGTTTGACCTCTCGACTTGTAAAAATAAAATAGCGCTGTATTGTTACTAATGTTAACCTGCGTACGTGATGCAGGGGGCACATAAACCCGGCGGTGACGTTCGGGTTGTTCGTGGGAAGAAAGGTGTCGCTGATAAGGGCGGTGCTTTATATCTTGGCACAAATGGCGGGTGCTATCTGCGGTACTGGACTGGCCAAGGCCTTCCAGAAAGCTTACTACAACAGGTATGGAGGAGGAGCCAATTTCGTACACGATGGTTACAGCACCGGTACGGCCTTGGGCGCTGAGATCATTGGCACCTTCGTTCTCGTTTACACTGTCTTCTCCGCCACCGATCCCAAGAGGAGCGCCAGAGACTCCCATGTTCCTGTATGCAACTCATCTCTAGCTTTCACTCTAATTGCTAGGCTAACCTGTGTTTTGATCGATTTTGATGTAAAATGAAAGGTCTTGGCGCCACTACCCATTGGATTCGCTGTGTTCATGGTTCACTTGGCCACCATCCCAGTTACCGGTACCGGCATTAACCCTGCAAGGAGTTTTGGCGCTGCTGTTATCTACAACAATGACCAGATCTGGGATGATCATGTGATTTTCTGTCAATTACTTTTGTTTCTAAGGAATTTAAGAGGAAGTTTATGTGTATATGTGCTTAATTTATATAATTTTGTTGATTGTGCATGCTTGTTTCAGTGGATATTCTGGGTTGGACCAATAATTGGAGCCGCGGCAGCTGCGATCTATCACCAGCACATTCTGAGAGCTACTGCCATTAAGGCTCTTGGCTCTTTCAGGAGCAACGCTTAATTAAGCCAACCAATAAGACTATGGTGTTTCCCTGTAAACAACAGTGACAATTTGATCATTTGGAGGGAGAAACGAAAAAGTTCATGTGTTTCTGCGAGCCTCTTCTGGGTTTCGTTTCTTTTTCTTTCATGCTTTAGAGGAAACAGCCAAAAGCCAATTGTAGATAAACATGTCAAGGGTGTATTTTGGATCCCTCTTGCTTGCGTTTTCAGTTTGGGTTTTCTAAAGGTTTTGTTGTGAATTTTCAATGTGAAATTGGGTGCGGAAATAATTATAAAATATGGGGCCAAATACAATATTTCAAGTGCGTTCATGAACCCCGTATTTTTATACTTGTCCTTCTCTAATTTTGACAGAGAAATTTATGATCAAGAATTTTATAAGAATCAGACGGTTATCTTTTTCCTATATATTCCCATGTATTCCTCGTGTTTATGTATGCCAATGCTCTACTCTTAGTAATTTATTTTCCTTTTCTACTTGATCCTTGTGTAAGTTATAATATGTATTCATCTTTTTCCATGTTAAACTTGGCAATTCCATTGTTTTCTGCGAGTCGTATCGGCCAAGGCCGCCCGCGCCCTTCTAATTCATGTTGAATGCAAGCGGTTAAGTTTTAGTTCCGATGTCGAAACATGAAACAAGACAGATTGACGGGCTCCCTAGTGAAGAATAGAGGGCAAGATAAGGTATGGAAGAAAGCAAGCTTATGCCGCATCAGAATCTGGAAGAGAGAGAATTATTTTATTTTGACCATGGAAGAAAGAGGACTATTTATCAATTTATATATCCACTTGATAAAGCGTAGTTTCTTGAAGTTTGAGGATGTTATCTTATCTGTCATGTGGTACTACAATTAGTTAGGTATGTATATGCCAACTCATCTCATGCTGGACAAGGGAAGTGTCCTCTGGAACGGATAGAATGGTCGTCCTTTTTACTCGTAGATTAAGCTACGACTTCAGGACTGAAGTGGGAGTACAAGGCTAGAAGCGTATTGAATCTTCCCATTCACTTGCCTTAAAATTGAATGCAACTGTTCTGCTCTCTCTCTCTCTCTCTCTCTCTCTCTGTGCTCTCGTTATTTGGGGATTTAGCATGTGACTCCATGCTTTGGACCCTATCACTCTCGTTGCAAGGGAACTATTTACTACCCTATTAAAGTCGTGAAATAAAGGACCAAGCCACACAAGCGACACAGTAGCGCGGGGATCCTAATTTTAGCAGTAATGCAGTATATTATTATTATCATTTCTCATTTGGATTTAATAAATGATATCTTCATCATATCTTGCGTCTCAGTGCGGGTCCTGTCACTTCATTGTGAATACCCTGTCCGGTGAAGTTTAGCTGTTGGGAAGCGACAATTAGGCTCCCATCATTGAACGTTGAGGCACTGTGGGCACATGGGACATGGACGCTCAGAGATGTCATGTCGCTATCCTATTGGTCATTGTTTAATCCGAGGGGTTTTCGTCAAGAAATTTCCAGGCGTTCCTTCTTTTTCGGCGGCAACAAGCAGCAGCAGGGCAAGGCATCTTTTGCGATTATTCTTCCTAATTTGCTCTCACTGATTTATGATCTTCCCATCTCTGAATTGTGACGTCAAAACAGAGGATGGGAAAATTCTGGTTGTCGGAGATATTGGTTTCAACGGGGAAATCTGAATCGGTGCTTGAGAGTAGAGTTGAGCCTTTAAAAGTTCAGTTTAAATAAAAATTTAAATTTTAAAAATTAAATTTTTTTAAAATTAAACGAGCTTGAGAGCTAACTTTGATAAATCTTATAAAAAAAGATTTAGGCTCAAGTAATCCTTCAAATTTTAATAAACTCAATTATCTTACACACATGTATATACATTTAATTAATAATATTATAAATTAATTAATATTTATTATAAATGATAAAGAAGAAATTATAAAGATAATTGACATAGAATTTTTATCTCCATCTTCAACAAATAAATCTACATCTAAAAGATGTAATATTTTATTTTTAAATGATAATAAGGAGAATTTATATTTATATTGATGAAGATTAAATCTTCATCTTAAATTTAAAATTTTAAATTTTTATCAAATTTGATGATAAATTTTATGTGAGATTTTAATTTATTTTATATTAAATTTTAAAATATTTTATTTAAATTGAAATGTTAAATTTTTTTTTAAAAGAAGACTTAAGGATTCGAGTCTGAATTCTTTAAATAAAGGCTGAAACTCAAAATCAAATTTAATTTTAAATAATCAAATTTTAAAATCTAAGTCCTTAAGTCTTTCCGGGCTCGTCCTAATTTTCTCGTCTACTTGAGGGGCTTCATAGCTTTGAATTATTTCCGTCTTATACGCTCATGATCGCGTACATACGTGGATAAGCACGACGGCCAAACAAAGGGCATGTTTGATGGGATCCCGCTGAAAGAACAAAGCTTCATGGTCACAGTTTTGATTTAGAATTCTCTGGAAACGAGGGGGAATCTAGAGTCTATTAAAAATATTAGGGGAATTATGCTTAGTTAATTACCAAAATAACCAGTTATAATGGCAAGCTTAAATTTTTGAAAAGTCTTTTATGAAAATGGGGGAAACGTGTGATAATTAAAATCTAACGAGACAAATAATTTGCCTTGTGTAATCGCCAGGATAAAAATTTTAACCATCACACGTGAGACAATTTATGCGTACCAAGATAAAGGAAATCTTGTAAAAGTACTAAAATTTTCCTACACATGACCATTAAACAAGGCAAATTATGTCTTGGGAGCATTATATTCAAATTACATATTTTTTTAAAAAAAAGAACCTTGATCCTATAGAATAATTTTTTAAAAAATTAAGATCCTGATCAATAAATGATACGTCATTTTTTTTGGTAATAAAAAAAGGCCGAAGCCTAAATCAGAGAGTCTAATTAGGGGGGAATTTAATCCCATAAAATCATTGTTAACAAGTGTTCTCAGTCCTTACAAATTGAGGAGCAATATCGAGAAAGCAAAACCCGGCAACAAGTGAGAATGCTTCCTTTGCAAGTGCATCAACAACCGCATTTGCATCCCTTGATCTGTACTGTTGTCTAATTTTTCAATTCCTATTCAATAATCTCTTTACATTCAAGAAGGTAGCACTGGCGATGAACTGACTATGATCTTGATTGTTCAATCTCTGAATTAAAACCTATGCATCTGATTCAACAATAACATTTCTAAAGCCTAGATCCCAAAGCACTTGAAGCCCCTTCTAGGTTGCAACGATTTTTGCTTTATAAGGAGAACATGTATCCAAGCATTGATAAAAACCTCATAACCAAACTCTGTCATAATTTCTTATAACCTCCCTTCCCCCCCAATCCTGAAAATTCTTTAATAGATGTAGGAAATGGGCAAATCTAATTCATATAGGCTTGGCCCTTAAGCCTAATTTTTCAAAATTTATCCTATTTTTTAAGCATGATCCTTATTCAAATGACTCAGAGTCAGTTCATAAATCTTTTATTATTATTTATATTTTTTGAATTTTTTAAATTTTAAAATTCTAATTATAACATTTCATTTTTTTAAAATTCAAATTATAATATTAGAAAATACAAAATAAATAATGAAAAATTAAATTTTAAAGTATAAACATATATTTTAAAGTTCAAATTTAATTTAAAAATAAAAATATTTTTTTAGATTTAAAATGAAAAATGGCTTAAAAGGACCACCCAACCCTACCTCATTTATTCATAGCCTATTGAGGTTGGGCTTTAAACTTCAGTTTTCCTAAAAAATGGCAATGTTTAAACTCTGAACCTTTATAAAAAAAATAAACTTAAATGAATAGCTCATCAAGCTAGCCTTTATTCCCGACTCAACTCTTGAAGTTGAAAAACAGCACTATCAATATTTAATTTAATGAAACCAGTAGGAGGAGGTTGCCAAACAAAATCATGGCACAGACTAGGCAAGTTATCTTCAGTAATGACTCCATGATATTACATCGGCAGCATTACATCTAGCGTACAATTTCAACGAACCATGAAAGAGGGCGCGGTCCAAGGGCTTGTTTATTTCTAATTCCATGCATCAGAGGCCCAGTCGTCATAAACACGGGCACGCTTTCAGGTTTTGTGTCCAACAACGCAACAGCGTCGGGCACTGGATAATCAGCTAATACTATTTAAGATAACAATATTTTTTTTTTTAACAAATTGCATTCACACATCCTATCCTCAGTAGGAAGAGTATATAAATATATAATGATTTTATATAAAAGGATGTTTAAATTTCAAAGGAACATTCTATCTTAAATTTATCAGAGTTTGAAATAAAATATTTTTCCTCTCTAAAAGTTGAGAGTAGCATAGTGAAGTCATATGATAATTAAGAGAAAGTTTGGAGACTTTGTATTATTTCAAATTCAACTTCAAGGATCATAAAATAGTACAGTGAAGTTATATGATAAAAATATTTGGAAGCAAGACGTGATGCATCTTAAAAAATGAAAATCGAACCTCTTCTTGTCCCCTCCTGGTATTGGTGGTGTGCGGCGATGGGCAGAGATGACGAGGAAACTCGTGAGGAGCAGCAACTAAAAAGGTGGTCCCCCGTGACAGCATGAAGGAGGGTGTGGCATCGTTAAATTGGGAAATTGGAACAATGCAAGAGAAAGGAGGCATGAGGCATCACACCATTTGTGTTTCGCTGGCAGCACTGAATCATAAGGCATTCCTATCAGCTCTCCTTGCATGCGCTTCGTGCATTCGCAATAATCACAGCTGCCATTATTACCACTCACTTCTCTCTCTGCCCTTTGCCGCCCCTCTAAGCCAAGCTAACTCTCCAACTTCTCTGCGTTTCCCCGAAGCAAAGCACGAACCCACCCCCCTCCCTAATCCCATATTTAATGATGTATTCTATTCATCATTCCTCTTCGCATACCCCCCCCCTTTCATTACTCCTTCAATACTTCCCACTTTGCGTTGTTCCTTCATACATGTGTACAAATGATGGACGTTGCTTGAGTGCATCATTCATGCCTTTTTTTCACTGTGGATTGCTTAATTACTCATCTTACACTTTTATTCCCTTTATTTGTCCCAGCCTGCTTAATTACTCTTCATTCTTACAACCATGCCAACACCACCCCACTTGCAAAATAATTCTCTAGTCATTTTTATAAGTTATTTTTACCAACCTCATCAATATTAATACAAATAATATAAAAGGAATAAAAGTATATAAAATTTTAAATATATTTTTATATAACAAATTTAAAAATTAATGTCATATTACTTATTCTCTCTTATAGAAGATAATTTAAAAAAATTTAAATATTACTTAAAAAATTATACAGCTACTTATAAATGAGATCAAATAAATTTTTTAAAATATGTTTTATAAATGATATAGGAAGCATGCTCAAGCAGTGTGGACTTTGCATCACTTCATCGCTTTCTTCAGGACTTGAACAACCTAAGCGTTAGGGTGGTTTGCGAATTAGAAACAGTACAGTATAATTCTGTTCCCCGTACAGTAGCCTGCTTTTCCCCCGCAAAATTGAATTCCAAGTAACAACCACTTACAGGGACCTTATAAAAGCCAGTGAAACCCATGATAAGTTTTCATCCCACAGTCGTCTCTCTCTCTCTCTCTCTCTCTCTCTGCTGTTCAAGTGTCTAACACAGAAAACAAAGGAACAAACATGAGTAAGACTGGCTTCTCTTTGCTCTTCCTTCTGTCTATGACCCTTGTGTCCATTGAGGCGACCCAGGAGAGAGCCCCCCACGGGCTTGTCCATGAGAGCCCCGTGGCTTTTCCACCGTCAGCATATAACTTCTTTCATCCGAATGCAAGAAGGCCTGAGACCAGAGACGCATGTTCTGCGTCCAAATGCTCACCGCTGCCGGAAGCGGCTCAAGTGGAAGCCGCTCAGATATATGAAAGCAAAGCCTTGACTTCCCAGGAAGGCAGAAAACAACTGGGAGCTGGAGGGATTGCTGGCATTGTGTTTGGCGTTGCTGTTGCTGTGCTCCTTGCTATGGGTGTCTATTATGTTAAAGCCAAACGTCAAGCCAACATGAGCCGGGCCTATGCTGTTCAGCCTCAAGCTTGATGTGTTTTATGTGTGTATTAACTCGGAAGCCTCAGCTTAGAACAGGGCATGCGACCCCCGCCCTTCCATGTCTCACTTTCTTATCCCTTACAATTAGTAGTTTGCTCCTCTCGCCTGACTAGTTCTAAGGTGTCGGCTAGCCGGTGTATCTATGGTGATGATAGTGACTTATTTGAATGTCATTGAAATTTAACCAGTCATATTTCTGATGTGTATGCACTCATCGCTATGAAAATCAACCACGAAATGAAGGTCCTTCATTCATAGCTAGTAATCACGTTAGGATATTTAAGCGTTTCATTTGCTTTGGAGTTCAAAATTTGACTAGTAATGCTGCAATAGAATCACTTCCAATTGCAAGGCGAGCGAACCGGAAACAGAGTAACATCGCTATTGAAAAATAAATTGCTCTATACTTGTTCGCAATTTCTAGAGTCTTGCTTCAAGTCTTTCACGTGACATTCATCTCTTGTAAACTTAAGTTACGATCTATCTATAAGAAACGGCTGATGACACTTAATATCAACAAAGCGCCGATCGACATGAGCATTTCATTGAAGACAGCCGCTTGCTAACGAAACGCCACTCCAGGCATTCACACAATGGAAGCAAATTCCACTAAAAAAAAAACAGGTGTCTTGCTGCGCATATTCAAGCACCATGAGTTCACTGGAAACATTTTAATGCATATCTGTTTAACAATTCAGGATTTCAAGAAGACAAATACAAGACCAAAGAATTTTATGTCCAACTATCACACAGAATTTGAAACATTAGTGCAGACAGCACTCATCAAAATCTTCTACCATTCGCGTGAACTGAGAGACTTTATCAAAGGTCCAAATGTCTGGTCCACAGTTTTGTTCCATGAACGTGCCATTTCTGAACGTGATTTTTTCACAAATATGGGTTCTCTAACCTGTTGGAGCATCAAAGTCAAAAAGTTACACTATAAGAGTTGCCGAGCAAATCTGGAATTTAAATGTAAAAAACAGTTGATGTGCCCTTCACTTGTTAGTGTTATGTTCCTCAGGCCTGATGTCTTTCATCTTTGAATCGTAACGAAAGATAGCCTTCCATTGTAAGAATTAAGAATAAAGGCGGACATGGTATCTTATTCTTTGAATAGAAGGGGGCACAATAAAATCCAGTTTGGTTTGATCAATTGAATCATGGTTGTAAGGTTGATAACATACAATCCAGTTTGGTTTAATCAATTGAATCATAGTTGTAAGGTTGATAACATAGGCAAACTGCAAGCATATAGCAAAGACATGTCGATAGTGCTACCATAGAATGCATATATCCAGCTTTGACCAAGATGATACCCCACAAATTCAACTTAACATTCGATCACCAGCAATTCTGCATCACAAATGGTAAATCTCACTGCAGTAATTCCCACAAAATTTGATATAGAGCAACAAGGTGATAGTCCAATTACCCTTTTGGGATTTTAAGTAGAAGGCAGAAATTGTAATTAGTAATAACTCAGGTACAACCCTACACTAAAGTCAACATACATTTTCATGTATGTTCAAGCAATAATACTCAACGTCCAATCTTAAGCAACGAAGGTAATGCCAACATACAACATATGTTGCACCACTAGCCCTAAAATCTATCGCATTTTGTGCTACTATGAAAATGACAGAAATGCTCCCAAGGTGTTTCTCGCTATTCATCAGACACAGATTCAAGTAATGTGCTTGACATAAACAATTTCATTTTTGAATATGATAACACTTTTGAATGTGATCATACGCAACCAGAAACTAATTGAGATTATAAAAAAGATTCCTGCTTTATCATCTTCATTGTGTAATACCAATCTCTCCCAGGCATTTTGACAATCCAATATATTTGCAATCACATCATCTCCAATATGGCAATGAAAGTTTGAGCTAACCTTTCCATTCAGTAGGCATGACTCTGTCAGTGAATCATATTTTATTATGCATAGACATGATCCAAGGCGCACACAAAAGATAACTATGCAAGCAAAACCTAGAAGAATGGGAATATAACAAAATCCAAATTTCTTCCTTTTGCACGAGCAGCTTAAGATTTAAGCTCGTGGTCATGGTCATCATATGCCAAACTTGACGCAATTGTTCAAGCAACATTCTCCATAAATCTAAGCCATCTCCGAAGTAATAAAAACCTAAACCTCAACAAAAATTCAGGCAGGAAACATCAATCTAGATGGAGCAGATAACCATCTCATCTATGTCAATTGGATTTCTATTTAACAACAAAAATAATAGAAATTAGGGGCTCGTAACTAGTTGAAACCGGGTGCATTGAAGAATCGAATTTAAACGAGCATCAAAAAGGAAAAGAAAGACATTGGGTTTACCGGAGCATGCTGAAGAGACTGAGATTGAATATTGGAAATGGAATTATATATTTCAAATACAATCGCCCCTGTAAAAAGGACTCCCAGTGTAGCCCCAAGTAACCGCTCCTTTGTATTTCAGAATTGCGAAGAAAGAAATGAAAAGGGCAAATTCAGCACACCAATGTCGATGACAGGGAAAATAAAACAGAATCCTTGTAGTTCATAACACTATAAGAAGTACCTGAGCAAGAATGCTAATCATGGTTTCGTTTTCCTGCAACAGATTCGCGAGAAGAAGAAATAGCCGCGCTTTTTTATTGCAGCTTGCTGCATAAGAGCAAGGACTACAGGGCAACCGGGCAAGCGTCACAAATTGTATTTACGGGATTCGAGTATTGGGCCTTCTGATATTGGACTCTGGAAATGAAGCCGAACAATTAATTGTAATTATAAGATTATATTATAATTGTTATGAAAATGAAAACTGAAGGGAGAAGGGAGAAAATATACTAAGAGAATAAGAGAATAAAAATTTTTTTTATTTTAATGTGTAAAAGACGACTGAGATGCCTTAAATAGGTTTAAATATATCAATTAAAATAAATAAAATATACAAGATAATAACAACTAAAAAATATTATAATAACCAAAAGATATTTGAGAATCTAAGATAATAGACATCCATATAATATCATAATATTCATCACATTCTTTCTTGAATTTTTAAATATTGTGCCTCATTAAAACCTTGCTAAGAAAAACTTAATAGAACAAAAACTTAATGAAAGAAAAAGAGTACATAATATCATTATATTTATTAAAGCTGCTTCATTAAAAACCTCACCAGGAAAACCTAGTGGGATAAAACTTTAGTTAAGGAATACAGCATAAAAACCTCCCCCTAATGACAACATCACTCATTGTTCTTAAGTCTTCTTGAGTCATTGTGTCCTGACTTGTGTGTCAATTTTTTGAATATTGTTGCTATCGATCCCCTTGTGCTTGCAAGTTGATATGCTTTTATGACTAGACTATATATGAATCATTGCCTTCATATAATATTTTGAAACATCTTTTCTATACATATCTTTTTGGATATAAATACAGTTTCTACCTATGGTATATCTTGTAGGAGTAAAAAAATAATCTTGATATACATGTATTTTCATAAATAAATAATCTCTCAAAAGTCAACTAGTATAATACGTGTATAGCATATGCATAATCAATTAATTTTGTTCCTAAATAAGTTTAGTTAATCAACCATATATAATAATTCCTCAAGCATACTATATCAAGTACACAACTTTATTGCAAATGAATGTAATATCATAAATTGTGATATGAAAGCATTCATATGTAGTGCTTCTGCTTCAAGACCATACTTCATTGTCCTCTTAAGGAAAAATGATATTGATTCTCATTTAAACACTTAATATTTTAACATATTTCTCTTACAATTAAGTGTTCATATAAACTCTTTAAGATATTCAATAATGCTCAATCAATCAAATCTAATACAAATCGACATGTATATAATCATTTTGAGATTTTCAAGTAAATGCCACTGTACAGGAAGTCATATAAGTAAGCTATCATTTAGTAGACACATATCATATTTCTATACGGCCAAACTAATGACATGTTAAAAATCATTCCATCCACCACACAATATATTAATGCATATTTTGAATCCTTATAAGATATTCTTATATTTAAAGTCAAACTTTACATTTGACATATCATTTTTTTACATAAATGCTCATGTATAATATTGCATTTCATGTGCTTGAATTATAAGTTCAAAACTTTCATATCATAAAAAAGTGAACGTAGTTCTACTTGTATTACGTCCATTTCTCTAAATCTCATCAACTTTTTATTCACTTTTTATCAAGATTCTCATTTGATTTCATTTTTTTTATCCTCATTGAAAATGTTGTTGATAACTCTCCTCTTTTTTATTTCATCATTTATCACATTAGCATAAATTCTAAATATTTCTTTATTATTATCAGGTATCTGATCCTCTTTTAAGAACTTAAAGTCAGTTATGTCTTGGCTTGTTCTAGAATGCTCGTCTCCTTAATGTAATCATCTTACTTACCTACTCCTTTTTCTTTCTATAAGATTTTCTTTCTTTATAACCAATTAGCCTTCCATGCTTCAGGTGTGGTTCATTTTTATTTATGCCTTCGGAGCGTTATTAGCTGGAGCCTTCTTTCTATCAATATTTACATATTTAGCAGTTATTGTATTTCATGAATGCAATGTTATATGAATTTTTTATTCATATATGAGGATCTGTACAACATATCGATAATGCATTTATATATTTTCATTTATAGCTTTTCATCTATAGCTTTTCATCACCTCCTCTTCTTTTTAGGATTACAAATCATGCAGTATAAGCCTTCTAGATCCACTTGTTTTTTATAAAAACATCATTTTATTTCATTTATAAACAAACAAGAAGAAGAATATTCTTAACCAACATTTATTCCCAATATTGTGTGTTCACAAGCTAAACGGTTGGAGCTCGAATTGAATTCATGAATTGTACCATATATCACAACCCAATTAAATTCCACTAAACTATAAAAGACTATGGCATTATTTCTAACTTTATTTTGAAAGTATATTTTTATATATAGTGGTGGAGCCTTTATCACAAAATCTCAATTTAGGGCCAAATTATACTCGGGGGTATTCATAATGCTTTATTGACTTGATGCATTTAAGTGCTGCAATTGCAAATTTATATATTTAAATGAAAATTTTTAGCATAATCATATATTGAAGGCATAAATAATCTTTAATAGACCATTAGAATAAGCAGGCTTTTCTTCATCTTATAATCATTGAAAGCCTACGATGTGAAACCACTAACATTTTCAAGCGATTCATCTTGATTACTATATTATCAATTGTGCACATAATAATTCTTTTTATTTCACAAACTCTTGATTGTGAATTGATACACATGTGTAACGATCTTATAAATATATTTATTAATCTTATTAAATATTTGCATGGTTTATGTGGTATCTAAATGGATTCATTTCAACTCAGTATATTTTATAACTATATAGGATCCAATCCCAATTATTTATGTTGATCATATCATAATTTTTCTTAAATAGCACACGAGAATTCTCGAAATATGTAATGTGTTAGATATTTAGAAAGAATCTTCTGATTCTTCTATAGTTGTCATTGTAACACACCAAAATTTTTTTTAAAAAATAATTTAACTCAACCATAGTTGGGTTACAGCCACCCAACACATTTTTATATCAATAATTTCAATATAAAATATTTTATAATTGACTTCAACTCACACACTATAACATTTCAGATAATTTTTTTACCTCCCACATGCCATTAGGCTAAATCACATTTGTCCATCCTTATACTCCCAACAAGTAAACTAAATCACATTTGTCCATCCTTATACTCCCAATAAGTAAAATAAGCAATTTAATAAATTTTCAACACAAGTCAGTTATTTGGCCTTATAATCATGCCATTTTAACCAATCCAAAGTAAACCAAATATTAAAATTACAGTCATCCAAATTGTACCAAAAATAAAAATAGTTTGAAAGGCATGATTACATTTATATATTCATATAATTGACAATAAATAAAAAGCCCTAATATTGGCAATATAACACATTATAAATCATAAATTAAATACCCAAAAGAGACAGTAGATCTATACCACTAAGCCTCTGAGACTCCTCCACGTGTCACTCGTGGCTCTTCTCCTGAAAATTGTTAACCACATAATGAGACTCAAAAGTCTCAGTAACCAAAGCCAATTTATGATAGTGTATACAAACAGTTAAGTGTGTGCTTACTAAGTGAGAATTAAAAATAATATAATTTCAACAAATATAAGAAATATTACAATATACACAAACAACCATCCTTATATCCCTCCATTAACCTCGAGCCGTAGCCCTCACTCGGTGCTAAATTACCCGGCCAAAGGTAGATTAGCCCGAGCCCTTACAAACCACCTATTGAGCTCCAATAGAGGCGTACCACGTGGCACATAAATACAACAATAATAGTAGAGCCGGTAATTTGGGCCAAGCCCGATGGGCCAACCCGAACCCGCCCGAAAATTTTAGGGCCGAGCCCGAATACAAAAATATTTTTTTAATGTTCGGGCTTATTCGGGCTGCCCAAATAAGCCTGACAAAATTCGGGCCCGCATCACTTTTTTTTTAAAAAAATTTAATTGCTCTGCCCAAGTGCCCAGTGAGCCAGTCAGCCCAATCTGCGGATCTGCCTCTTTCGGTCTTTCCTCTTAGCCTCAGCCTCCTAGTCTTAGACATAATCACACCTCACAGCTCACACTAGAGCCGGTAATTGGGGCCAAGCTCGATGGGCCAACCCGAACCCGCCCGAAAATTTTAAGGCCAAGCCCGAATACAAAAATATTTTTTTAATGTTCAGGCTTATTCGGGCTGCCCGAATAAGCCCGAATACCCGCATCACTTTTTTTTTAAAAAAATTAATTGCTCTGCCCAAGTGCCCAGTGAGTCAGTCAGCCCAATCTGCGGATCTGCCTCTTTTGGTCTTTCCTCTTAGCCTCAGCCTCCTAGTCTTAGACATAATCACACCTCATAGCTCACACTGACTCAGCATGCACGCACAGACCGACAGACTTACTCAACACTATACTGCACAAACCGACTTCAGAGCCTCAGACCTCATCACCTCAGTCACACTCACAGACTCACAGTGCTCACACTTACCGACTCACGGCACGGTCAGGGAAAAAGACGAAAGGAAAAGAAAAAAGAGAACTTGAGAGCCGAGAGGTGAGAATTGAGTCTGAGAAGAACACACGGTCAGTTGGTCTCGGCCAGAAGCACTGAAGCAGAGCAAGCACCAGTAGAGATGAAGGAGAGACTGTAGACGACGGCACGACGCAGACCCTCGGAGGCTTAGATTGAGTAACTCAGACGAACGAGAGGCGTAGACGACAGCACAATGTAGATCTGTTGATCGTGACTCAGTGACTCTCCTCCTCTCATCTCAGAAGACTCGTCTCGGCCTGTCCAGTGAGTTCAGTACTCTCCTTTTCTCTCGGCCTGTCCAGATCACAATTGTCCTCACATCACACCGTCGCAGATCTCAGATCTCCTTACCTTGCCATTGCCCTCTTTTCCTTCTAGTTCTAGCTCTGCACTCTTTCAGGCATATCTCCCTCACATCACCGCCAGCTATTCCTGGGAGCACAGGCGAGCTTTCATCATCTTATTTTTTAATTTTTTTTGTTTTCATCTCATAAATTGATCAATCTATGATTCTCGATAGGATTCAAACAATATAAAATTGAGCCCGTTGATCGGTATGTGATTCACTGATTCTTG